GCCGCCCGTGTCTTTGAGCAGACGTGGCGAAACGCATCCCTCCATCCATCATATCAGCAGAACAAAATAACTGGAGCCGTTTTTAATGTTAAGAGGACATGTCCACTGTAACCAATTAGCTTGATCTTTGTGGACGGGCTGGAAGACAGCATCTGTTTATTGTGAATCCTTTTATTTATTTATTTATTTTTGTGCTGATGCAAAAAAAAAAAATAAAAAAATACAACGCAAGATCAAAAAGTGAAGGTGAGGACAGGATGCTTTTATCCACATGCGCACGCACTTTGGAGCAAAAGCTGCACAAAACGCTTCTGCTGGCATGCAGTCAGATGCAGGCGGAGATGCTTTGATGTGAAAATCAGAGTGATGCTACGAAAGCTACAAGCCGATAAAACACTAAACTGTCACATTAGAGTACATTCATAATCACATTCATCAGCTATACATGAACATTAAGACTGCCAGCCAAAAACAAGAGTGAGGAATAAGGAGGGAATATGAAAGGATTTTACAGTAAAAAATGTAAATAAATAGAAACTTCTGCAAATTAGGTATGTAGGGCTGATCAAAACTATTTATTTAGCATGAGCACAAATGATTTACAATAAAAGTTTAGCCATCCTTAATGTGGTTAAAGCAACATTTTTTTTTTATCTGTATTTGAATCAAGATCCTGATTTCAGTCCAGCACTGCATTCCAGGTGTGTTGCAGTTTTCTGTGATAAGCATGTGGGTGAGCCTGCAGCGCATTTATGTATGCGTGTGTCTCCAGTGTGTGAGGTTAGGCAACTGTCCATCAGCCGCAGTGTGCAAGTTTTATAGGCATAGCAATCTTTTATGTGTTTTTGATTGTTGTGGGCCTGATTTTATATATATAAAAAAAATTTTAAAAAAAGTACCTGGACACAGTGAAACTATAAATATGGTTAAGAACAGGAGTGAAATCAGATTTTCTTTTCTCTTTGAAATCTTTTAATGTTGTTGCGGCCAGCTCTGGTTTATGGCATCAGTAATCTGTCGTGATCTGAAGACGTTCTGCGATGCGTTTAAGAATGGAGATGAGTTCTGGGAGAAACATGGGCTAGCCAGACTGTAATATAAAACATAAGGAATACTGTATCAAGGAATCTTTGTATAATGAACACTATATTATTTTTTATAGTTAAATTAACATTTAAACATGTTTCCAATGGGATTTAGGTTTGAACTGTGACGGGAATGGAAGAAAGCTGGTTTTATGGGCGACTGAAGTCAGCTGGCTGATTTTATGCCCCTCGTCCACCAAAGCAAAGACAAAACAACTGCAGCAGCGATGGCAACAAGTCCACTGATGCGCACAGAGCAGAGTCAGAGTTTCCTCCATGTGCATCTGATCAGATTTTTGTTGAAGATGACGCACAAAAACTTTGCGTGTAGTAGGAAGACAAAAAGGAAAAGGTTTCTTCCAGAAGAGTCTACAGCATTTATAATCCAAAGAGCCATTTTTGCCCTAAACAGTTAAATAAGTTACATGACATTCAGAAAAAAAATACAATAAGATTTGATATGTATCTGCTAATGAAAATGTGTTGTCACTATTAAAGAACCACTATTTTATTTATTTAGCTTTTAGAATAAAGGAAACATAAACCATGAACATTATATTTTATGGGGAGGAGGGCTGATATTTGTGAAAGATTATTTCTAAAAATGGAAATTTCCAATTTATAAGAAAAATATTTTTTAAAATATATGTACAGAACTTTTAGCACTTTTAGTGTCATTCTGTTGTGGAAATGTAATGCAATCACTCCACGAAAAACTTAAATTCTGCATTTGCAATAACATCTATATTTGAAAGCAATGTTGGTTCTTCTTAACCAAAGTTATTAAGAGTTACTGGATGTTCCTAAGGGCCAATCTCAGTCCTGGAGCTACACGTTCCTGCTTTAAGTGTCAAGAGTTCAAATAGTCTGTGAAAAGCATCTCACTTGTGGCTATTTATGTCATTTCCTGTTTATGTTCACCTTCAGCTCAAATGCCAGAAATGAAGTCGAGCCGTGGTTTAAACAGTATGTGGGTCTATACCTAAGTGTGCAGATGTTTGGATTGGAGGATTACCTGCATGGCCCTGACCTGATGCCTATCTCACCTGGGCCAGCTCGCTCCAGCACTGCACCTCGTCTCCCTCATTTAACAGATGGAAGATACTCTGTCTGATGCACTTTAACACGTCACCAACATGCCGTAAGGTCCGGGGCTTTAGGGAGGTGGGGGAGATTAAGACGTTTCAGGAACTTCCCAAACATTTCATGTAAATCACATGTAAATCGGTAATCAATGTTAAGAGCCTGAGGTTGATCAAAAGAGGCTCACTTTGAATTCGCCATGCTGGTTTTTAAACATGGATTTAAAAATTAAAAGAGAAAGATTAAAAAAAAAACTCCTTATTCCACACGACTCTGATTTACAGATGATGGTGTGGGCAACATCAGCTAAATAAAAGTGAGAGAGAGAGAGAGAGAGAGAGAGACGACGAGCAGGAACGTGGAAACTCTACTATAAATCTGTAGCCTTTTAGATAATAATGAGAGGGCTGAATGTGGGATATGAGCAGTAAATATTTTTCATTTAACCTTTCAGATGATTTGTCTCCTCGTGGAAGTGTCTGTGTGAAAACATGATTAAATCACGTCTCCTTTCGAGTGTTTTATCACAGCGGAGAGCTCTTAGTCTTATGAGGAACTGTCTGCATTCATCCTTCTGTTCATCTGTTCATTCTTTGTTAGCATCATCTTCCTCCCCCCCCCATCTCTGGTCACTGTTGATAACAGAGACAGAAGCAGACAGGCCATCATAAATTATTATTATTCTTTTAAAACCCTAAAGAAAGTTTTTTGAGACAATGCAATGTCTCTCAATTTCAACTAATGCGAGAACAAGAATAGGAAGAAAAAAAAAACAATCTAAATGTGCAAAGGAGGTGGATAAAGTCTTATTGTTACACTCATATTATGCAACACCTTCTTTTGGCGAGTAGCAAAAAAGTCTCAACAAAATACTTAAGATTACAAGAACTAAATCTGAAAAAGTTTTGAAAAATAAATACTTTTGTGAGACACTGTAAACCCAAAATAGGACATGATTATGTGTTTGGACAATATGGAAAATCAGCAAGAATATGAATAGAATCAAGAGGTATTTATAGAAAAGACGTCTGCCTGGCAGTGCTTTCAGGGACGTTCCCGTTTTGATCATCTGAAAGCCCAGTCGATACGACTGCTCCTCTTTGGCGCTGTGTCGATACCTCGTAGCCCATGTAACGACCCGTACTTTAGTCCAGAGGTGCCGTAGTGCATTCGATCCCAGTGGAAAACTATTATTTATAAACAGACGTAGAAAGCAGTGCTTCACTCATACGTCCTTCCGTTGTCTTCCTCTTACCTCTGATCAGATCACAGATTTACATCCTCCTGATTAGATGCCTAAACCACGTCAGCTGATTTTTGAGTATATCAGAAGCTGTAAACCAAGTCTGCCCAGATAAAAAAAAAGGTCCTCCTCTCTGTGATGTACTGGCTTCTGTCAGCACAGCGGAGTAGCAAATGATTCCAAGTACTAAAACATGAAGCAAGATGTTGGCGTCTCTGTTCTCAGCTTTTAGCTACACCGTGTCCTCCATTTGATTCTTTGCAGTCATTAAGAAATCTCAGACTGTTTTATTTATTTATTTAAAGGACTGAAAAGTGAAATAAGCAGAGAGGCACTTTTTACATAACTTAGAAAACGTAAGAGAAAGCCACCGCTGCGCTCATCCAACTATTCAGCTCCGTGCCCCAGAGCTTTTCTGAAAATGTTTTATTTTGACCTCTCAGTGATTTGATGCACTTGAATAATTGTCAGTGAATAAAACACAGCGCATGGCGTAACAGTATGTTTTTGTAAAGCAGCCGTTTCTTTTTGCCAGCTTGTTTTTCTGTCAATTATTTCTGCCGTGTTCATCTAAAGTCAGTAAATCCACATTGCGTTATTCACCAGTCCCTTTCCACTGCTGTCACCCTTCTGGCCAATTTAAATGTTTTGTCTGATATTTTAATCTTCTATATCATATTTAATATCCAGAGTAAGGCTATAAAGCAAATGTGGGGGTCGAGGCCCCTATGAGGACTTTCCAAGAGTTCTGCACTCAAGTTTTTCTTAAAATATGAACAGTGTAGCGAGATCCACCTTTGCTCTTACTTTTTACTCTGTTTTGGTGAACATGTACAGGCTATAAATGCAAGTTATAAGGTATTCCACATAGCTTGATACCCTGCTACCTGAATGAGACATTTTTTGAAGTTAGAAAGAAAGGGACCCCATTTTGTTGACAGCACAAAAGAAATGAAAACGATGCTAGAATGCCACAACAGGCCATCTGGAGACGTAAAGTTAACATCTGCATAGCTTCCTATTGGCACTAGTTTATTTGGTTGTTTTTTTTGTTTTTGTTTTCTTCTTCAGGAGTCTTGACTCCGGTTGATCATCTGTAGTTCAAAACTTAATAAAATACACCCTAAGAATAAAGTTAATATCTTCACTTGCCCCACTCCTTCTTCCTGATGGGGTATAATTAATTTGAGTCATTAGGTCTCCAAACTCATCCAAACTATTGCCTAATTTGACGTATTTTTAAAAACTTTGAAACATCTTTGGTTGAGTCACAGCAGCGTTGGCAAAGATTTTGCTTCCCTTGGAGTCTTTCCACTGACTTCCTATGTAGGTTTGAAATTGCATTGGCTTATGCGCACATTTAATCTGGCAGCAGGCATCTTAAAACCTTTGCCGATTCACCTTTATTCTTTAATGTACAAATTTATTTAAAAACACACGAGACCAATTAACCAAATCAACTGCTTCTTGTATTTTTTATTTTTTTTATTTTTTTTTTGTGGATTTTTTTTTAACCATTTGTTTTTAGCCGCTGTTTATGCTCCGGTTGAGGAAAAGAAAACTATTTGGATTGGCAGGTTCTGACATGGTTTGGCCTGGATACAGAGGTGCAGTAAACCATGTTCCTGCTTGAAAGCTGTAAATCTCTTCACAGTTTGTTGAGCTGACGGAGGAAAGGAAGGATGACGGATGGAGAGAGTAATCGGAGGAGAAAGATGAGACGATACGAGACAGGAGAGGGCGGTGCTCTTCTCAAAGTCCAGCTGGGAAAAGGAGATCTGCTGGGAGGGGTCGGTGTTATTGAGGCGCTTGTGCAAGACGGGCATAGGTTGAATTTGTCAGTGTCCACCTCAAATGTCAGTGTAGGTCATAGCACATCCTAGAAGGTATCAGAGTAAATCAAATAATGTCATGTAAAGTTAATAACTTAAATTCACTCTTTAATGAGATTTCAAGAATCTTTCCTCAGCTGGCTGGTGAAACTTGTTTTTTCATGTACTTCAGATTAAATCGTTTTATATCGCTAATAGCTGTAATGTTCCTGCTGTGGCAGCTGCAAAATGCTGCGTAATGAATTATGTCTGAAGATGTAGTACAACTTTACAATTAAACTGCATCATGCACCTCCAGACCAATATTTTTAAATAAATCCAAATATCAAGATAATTTGTGCTCCGTTTTTTTTTTTTTTTTTTTTTTTACTTGTATGTATAAAACCTGTAAATCACAAAGTAAGCAAGAGGAAAAGGTGTGATGTTCAGCCTGAGTTTCTAGTTGCTAAAATGTAGTTGCTGTCAAATTTAGAGCCTCCAGGTGAGTCATGCTAAATAAATGCTCTGCTTCGGAGAAGAAAGAGTGAAGTCCCAGCCTTCAGCCCTGAGCTCTGCACCCCTGTGCGCACATCAATGCCAATTAGGGCTGGAAACCCCAAAATGCCCACGACTTCTGTTAAACCATTTGACACTGGATTTTCCCACTGCACTCAGACGCTTATGTGCCTTTTTTTTTTTTTTAGAGTATGAACAGAGCTTTACAAAATAAATCAGTTTTATGAAATGACAACAGGACACTGGAAAGACGATTTATGGTTGGATTGTAGCGTTGGAACAGAAACCGTGTCACGGGTATTTTTGCTTGTTTTTTGGGGGGAAGTCCTAAAACTTAATTTGAAGACTGCTGACAGCTTTGCCTAAGCCTGGTACAAATTAATCTTAGATGTGTCCCCACCGACCACATTCTGTACCTTGTAGAAAATTAATTAATATTCACTATCAAAAATCTTTTTCCTTGCTCTTCTCTTTGGATACTTTGCAATTTAAATCTTCTTCCTTAGAGCAGGTTCTAAATTATATTCCTGTCATTTGGCCACATTTTGATACAATATCAATTTATGAACTCCATACATGCTGCGGTACAAATTGTTCATATTTTAGGCTTTATGCTTGAGCCACATTGTTAATGCCGTTGGCACCAGATCATAGTTAAACATCTGCCTTCTTTTAGTAGTTCAGCTTTTAAAGCAGTATCTGCATTTCACTGACAATCCATATTTCCCTCCTTCTGCTTGTAGCATTTTAAACTTTAATTTGGCTGAACAAACTCAAAGTCAGAAGACGTGGTGGAAGAAGCCAAAACATTTTGTGTTTGGGATGGGACCGGGGTTATGGAGAAAAAAGTAGAAAAGGTTTTATGTAGCTTAAATACCAGGCTGTGGTTCCCTCTTTGGGCCCAGGAGAACAGTCTGTTGTCAGAGGTGGTGTCTGCCTGTTACATGGCTACGACGTACATAGATAAATGTCTCAAAAAACAGGCTTTACCTCACTGAAATTTGATTCAAACCTGTTTCAATGTGATTCATGGAATTCTGACATCAACTTTTCCTGTACTTTGGATGTCATGCTGCCTGGACGGATCTTCAGCCAAGACAAATGTTAACCGAAGGCTGCACAAGAACAACGCTTGGAAATACTTGGACTGAAAATGTCTTACATTTCTAGCTATTTCTACAAGAACCTGCAAACACTTTCTGTCAGCTAAATGAAACAAACACATGCTGTGGTCACATAGCCAGAGCATCTGACTGAAACTCCTGTTATTTAACATAAAACCAGCGAGTTATTTCCAAAAAGCTTCAAAGGAGGTGGCCTTGGGGGCTATTATCTGCCTTTGTGTTTATCTTAGTTTATCTTGTAGAAAAAACTCTGACAAAGATGTATATACACACACACAAAAGTAACAGGAACTCCTTCTGCAAAGGACAGATTTTGCTCTGGGCCTGAAGCCCTTTCAGAAAAATGAGCCAGCACTTCAAATTAATGCACCAGCAACAGAACAAAGTGATCCCTGCAAAACATCATCATCCTTGAATGCCCCACAATTTAACAGACTTGCTTTTTTTTTTTTTTTGTAACTTTACAATTCTCAAGATGTTTTTAAACTCAAGAAACAAAGATGTTTTCCTGTTGTAGATTGTGTTGAAGTTCTTTGTATTGCGAAAATATAAAAGTTACAATATTTTATGTGCTTGGATAAACATTATAGCGACAGTCAAACATGGCGGTGGCAATCTTTGTTTCTTTAGTGACTTTTGGCAATTGATGAAACAATCCTACTCTATAACAGGAAAAAAAATAAGTATTTTTATTGGCCCAGTTAAAGTCTGAGATGAGATACTGCCACATGCTCTTAAACACGGTTTTATTCGTCCCTCAAACCTTCTGCAAATAAAAGTGCGTCAGAATTTCTTCACCTGTATGTAAAATACTTTTGCCAGATACCAAAACGGTCAAATTGTTGCCAAAAAGGGTGGCACAACCAGCTTTTGGTATGGGTATTTTTTTCCCCATGTAATAAACCAAATCATTTGAAAACAGATTTTTGTATTATTTGGGTAATATTCGTCTAGTATTAACATTTATTTGAAGAGCTAAACCATCCAAGTATGAAAGAGAAGCAAAAACAAAAGAAATATGTGAAGTGCAAATCCTCTTTCACTGCACTGTTGAAGCTGCTCCTCTTTACACTTCATTATGTTCATATCATCATAGATTTTCTGTGAGATGACACTTAGTAAACTTAAAAATAGCAAGAGCAACTAATATATATCCATTTTTTATTATCTGTAAGATGAAATAATGTTGCATCACTGGTAAGCATTATAGATGGCCTCAATGAATCCCAAGATGAATCTCAGATCAAACTGCTGATTTTATAGTTTCTTCTGCCAGCTGGCGCGAGTCCATAAACGCTACATACAAAGAAAAGCGAGTCTCAGCCTCAGGCTCTGTTCATCTCCATTGAAACCCTCAGCCAATACACTCATATAGATAGTTATCAGTGGCGGCCGTCTGTAAAATACTAATATGTTGTGCAAGGACAAAATACCAAAAACATAGTAATATTTCCACATGTAAAATACAAGATACCACTTGGATAAGAATAAATGTTACTGGTGCCAAAGGAAAGTACAACTTGTGCACTATTATGAACACACCTGAAGGGGGTTTGGCAACGAGAAATCATTTATATTCAGAGCGACTCCTAAGTTTCTGCATGACTAATTAGAGCTGAGGACTCACCTGTGTATTTCTTTATGCAAGATAACTCGCCAATATTAAAAACAATATTCTTGCAATGACCTGTTATTACAGACACAATCCAAAAGTTGTACATTTATGTCTACGCATCGCTGCAGACAGAGGGTCCAGACCCTTGGCTATTTAGAAACTATTGCTTGCTGGAGGTGTGGGTTATGTTGAAGGTGTGGGTTTAAATTTCACTCCATCGTTAATATGGAGATGGTGAATCTTCTTGGATTTAAAGATGCAAACAGATCATCGACTCCACAGTTTTTGAGAAGTTCGATCCACCCAAGTGTCCTATTATAATAATAACAACTATAATGAACCGGCTTTAGGACACCAATTTATGACTAGTTACAATAATAGTAATGCAGAGAACTGAGAAGAATATGACAAGATACAAAGAAATGACGCAAATGCAATCGAAAGAAAGTTCAAACTCAAACGTCCTTGAATTGTGACACAATGCAACACTTGAAATCTAAAGTAAAGTGACATAAAGGAAATTTGAATCCCAATCTCTGGTCGGTTTAGCATTTTTAATCTGAAAACTACTCTGACCAACTTGGAATAGTGAATGGGGGAATCTGTATGTGGGTATGAATGTTAATGTGCGTCAAGAACTGGTGCAAGTTCAGAGTCTGCATTCTGCAGCGTGTTTGTGGGAGTTTCTTCATTTTTTTCCCTGGCTCAGCAGTTTGAGTGATCTGCAGATCAAAGTGCACAGAGTTAACTTAGTACTGCAGAGAAGTTTGAGCAGTTGATGAATAAACATGAGGTGGGACATTTAGACAACATGCACATACACGCAGCTCTTTCTAACTAAAGCAGTGCATTACATTGGACGCCGCTGCACACTGGGAGCCTGCTGAATCTTAACATGCATGAAGGATAATTGCACACGCACCAGTTTAGATTTCTAGCCATATTAGGACTTTGTGTTGACTTACATTAATATTTATAACTCAATCTGTGGCTAACCTAATACTTACAACAAACCTTAACGATTATTCATACATTCCTAACCCTTACCACTTACCATAAAAATGGGGGTCTGCCACAGTAATGCTGGGTTTTGGACTTTGTAAGGCCAATTAGTCTATTAGCAAAAAGCAATTCAATATACCAGAAACGAACAGGCAACATACATAAAGACACACACACACACACACACACGTACACACACACACACACACGCACGCACACACGGTGCAAAACTGGTCCTTGGAAGTGCAATTTATATTGAAGGTTAAATAGACCCAGAGAAGAAACAAAGCTCACATTCAGTGGACTTATAATGGCATGTGAAAGACTGGTGGTGAATTTAATTTCAGGGTATTCGATTACTGCCTGTTTATCTTCGAGTATGAGAAGCTAGGGCTAATCCTTCATTTATGAATGATGCATTAAGTTAGTCCTTATATACCTTGAGCCCCTGAAACGCACCCTGGACTGGCTAAGATATTGCAGCCAAAACCAGCCTACCCACACACGTCTTCCTGAAACTCTTGCCAGCCAAAATTAATCCACATGCACATATGAAAGTGCTTAAGAGGGAAACATATATTCTTAACACACTGCTCCCCCCACCCCTTTCTCTGCACTCTGTAGTTAGCAGAAGCCAACACTGATGAATAAACTGTAGCCAACTTCATTAATCAGTAGCAGAAAGACACCTTGGCAGACCAAGTAGTGGACATTTAATAAGAAAAGAGGCAGATCTGCATGTTTCCATGTTGAAAATAAAGAAAAGATGACCAAGTGCTATGTGCTGAATGAGTCAGAAAGTCATAGTAAA